GTATATCATTCGTAGAACTCTCTGTGTATATATATATATAAAAGTCTTTTGGGAATATATTCATAACCATGCCAAAAGAAACCAATATACTAGGATTTTAAAATAACATTTTAATGATAAATTAAACTGAAAGAAAAGAAGGATTAAAAATTGGAATATATTTACATATAAACTCATCTCCCGGATTGATAATAATTGTAAAAATAATATTCACTAAACATGCATGGTTGTCTCCTAGCAAGGAAATTAAAATTTCTAAAAAGAGGATGTTGAAATTAATTATGGCAAATAAATCGATAAAATCACAATAAATATTTCTACAAGGATAAAACATTTATGCGAGAAATAATCATCAATACAGAACAGACTTGCTAAATCATAAATCATTCAATAAAAAAAAAAAGAGAAAAACTAAAGAAATACAATGCGAAAAAGAAAGCAAAACGATGCTATTAATATTACTGTGTATTAGTATCCTGTATCACTATAAATACAGGCATACTTTTTTTAACACTCGAAACATTATCAAAATAATTAATATCACATAGCATAATAACTATAGCGTTAATCTTTCATCTGCGCAATCTATTTACCTTCTCCAGACAGTAATTATCAATTATTTAATCGTTTCATATAATACAACCGCATACAACCCACGTATATAGACATATTCAACAAAAAGGCAACATTTCGAGAAATTAGTTCGAACAAGCTAATAACATCATGCACCATACGTAGGGATATCACCTTCATGGCCTATACTGCAATAGTTATCGTCGAACATCTCGAGCATGTCATAAGCATCCAATGCAACTGGAGAGTTTCGAATAAGACGTTTTTAATAAATGAATAAGATTTGTTTCACGTATAGACCATGAACGAATTATGTGCACGTAAAACAGTTCTCACCGAGCGGACACCAACCCTCATGTTGTTCCGGTTTGTTAGGATCCGGTATTGGCATTAGGAAAACTTAACGAGTTAATCACGATTCGAGAGACAGACTCGGTTAGAAGGAGCGAGATATAATATATACATGCATGCGTCGCGATTTAAAAAATTTATAATTTTCACATATCGTTTCCGCGATAACAAAAACGAGAAACAAACGCAAAATAAAAAGTATGAAAACAAAACAAACAGAAATGTTTGTCGTAGAGTTAGATGTACGGGATGTAAGAAGGATCGGTACGATGGACAGTAAGGAACAATTATTATGTTAACGTTAGTATATAATTAACAAGATGTTAGATATGCCTACTGTAATATTATCTTCTATCTACTATTCATGAAATCATACTATACCAGAAAAGATTCTCTGACGTAGAACTAATGATTATCTCAAGATTGATATTTCGAAATTGATGAATTTACCATTGGTGGAAAAAGGCGGAGAGAAAAGAAAAGAAGAGTACAGAGAGAAAACAGACATTTTTCACGCAATTCAATGATATTAAAATAGTGGTTAAAATTAATTATTACCATGCATACTGCAAATAGCATAAACATAAAATAATAAACATAAAATATAATGTAAAAAAATTACGTCGATAGTAACAAGTACCGGATTGATTTTTTTACTCCCTAATCGAGAGTTAACGACGTAAATCATATACATTGGAAAAATGGTTACGAGATAAGCAAAAGCAATAAACAGCAAGTGTGTACACTACCTTCAATATTGTTTGTTAAATGTTAAATCAATAATAAGTTATATTTGATTAATAGTAATGTTATGTAGTAATAATGTTATGACACCTCAGGAGTCGAAATCGTATATATAGTACACATATTACATAATCTTAATATATATCTTTAGTTAGTTTTACTAGGATAACATAATACAAATAGTTATATCAAATCGACGTTCAGGTATACTTTCGTTAATGACAATGAATTTTTTTGAAACGATATTACATTCCTATATTTAATGCAGCAAAGCAAAGTAATGCCGATTAATATGGAATAAGAGCGATGAAAACAAAAACAAAACGTTAACATATACTTGTTATAATAAATACTTAAGAGTATCAATTCTGATTATTAAATATCGAAATTAAGTGGGAACACAACTTTAATTGCCTCTTGGGAAGAAGGATAGAGAGGAGACAGTACCATAAAAAATTCCTTTGAAAGTTATTTCAACTGCTTGCGATTAAGGAGTAATTTGTCTTGAAAATATGTTTTGCATTAACCCAACAGTTCACTCAGTTACGCATTTTTTAAATTAATTACTTCCATTTGCTTACTATCGACAATAAGATTCGAATAGAACTAGTACACGGTTACGATTTATCTCAATCTAATCGCGAATTGTTACACATACTGCAATTAAAGATTCGATTGAGTACTTACCGCGGCATGGATCATTCTTCAGAAGGAATTCATCTAATGCTACCCAGCCTCCACCGACGCGTACCATGACAGTAGAGCGCAGAATTCGAACCAATCGCAGCTTTTGACTATCACCAAACTACAATTTCGCAAGTGTCACGATTAAAGTCACACGTGATGTACTTAATTAATGATATTAATATACATGATTTCAAATATATATTCATACATAATAATGTGTGAACATATTTGAAACCAAACGTTTCATTAAGTTGTACGTACCCTGTACTTTCCTTCGCCAACTTGGAAAACGCGGAACTTCTGGCGACATGTACATAGCATGACCAGCCGTTTAACTTCATCATGGATTTTGTCCGTATCATTGTAGGTTCGTCGTTCTTCCCAGTCGGGTCGTAAAGCGGCAATGAACTCCTTCCAATCTATCAAGCCCTCGCCGTGACGATCGAAGAGGTCGGCAACAGCACCCATCTCCAGACGAGAAGTCTCAAATTCTATGAATTAAAAGAATTAACATATTAGAAAAATGCAAATGTTCTTGTTTAGGAAAAAATAAGCGATGTATAAGTACTGGTGTTCATAATTCCTTGAATGAAATCTTCCCTTGGTATAAGTCCATCGTTGTTCTTATCCATCTTTCTGAATAGATCCGTCAATCTGGATTTCTTGTGATTCATGAACTTCAAGAACTACATCAAAAAATTAGAAAATCAATATTATATATTCACACGATCTAATAAATAACAAACAAATCTTTAGACTTTTATTTTTATTACAAGTAAAAAATTAAGAAAAACAAATCTATGTCTTACCCGTTTGCGCCAATCTTCCCAGCTGAAGTTGGCAACGCGATCCAGTTCCTGAATGTAATTATACTTGTCCTGTAGACGACGTTGTCGTTCCCACGCCAGCATCCAAACGTGACGCCATTTATCCCAGAGAAGCTTAACTCTTGGGCTGCGGAATTCCGGTTCAGCTCCTTTGCTGTTTGTCGAAAGAAAAATATATGTGTATTTGTGCATAAAAAATAGATATAAAAATAGATATTGCGTTAAATAAATATATTTAACACAAGAATGCTTGAGAATGAGATATCGTTTTGATTAACATCTAATCTAATCACCAGTTTTCATATTCAAGGGTGAGACCCTCCGGACGGAACGGGAGAATAAAAGATGGCAAGCAATATCGTATTGATTACTTTTCTTTTTACTAGGAGTTTCTAAGTGTTAATTAGAATATATATTTATTTTTTTATAAATCATATCACAATTTATTAAAAATTTTTTTGTCTTCTATTGGTTTTTTTCTGTTTTTTATCTACATTTTTATATATATTTATTAAAACCTTTAATTCTTATAATTCTTATTATTTTTTATATATTTTTTAAGAATACTTTAGAATAATTCAATCTCATAATAATTTTTGCTTATGGTTTTACTGATGACATACTGTTGGCATAGTGAATTGCCTGAAATAGAGATGAAAAGATACAAAATGTGATCGAATCTGTTGGTTGAATGATAACTTGATTGTTGGAAGAATTAGAGAATTTGAGAAAGGAAATAAGAACGGGCTAGTCCATGTTCGTATTGGAAAAAAATCGCAGAATCGAAAGTCACGGAGTCAAAATTATCTCGTAGCATAATAGATTCTCAAGAATCACCTGAGCAGTCTAATCCGATCCGCTCTTCGTGATCGTGGCATTAGTAGATGATTTATCTTACCTTTACATTATTTTTGTATAAATGTATATATATGTATATTTATATGCTGAATATGTTATATTTTTATAATGCTGAATATCTTTTAAAATACGTAGTCTATGTAAATTTTTTGCGATTTTTAAGAATTATAATCTTCATTTTCTGGGATTTCATAGAAAGAAATATAGTAATGAAATATAATAGTTGCAAAAATAAAAAAATGACATATATAAATATCACATCAGAAACTTCACACTTTCAATACAGACTTTCAAAACAGATGATTTTGTGAGCGAACAGTTCAAACCCAATCACATATCAACCCGCAAAAAAAAAAAACAAAAAAAACAACAAAAAAAAAAAATAGAATGATCCCATTACCGAACTATTAGTAAATCATATGATACGCTGTGTCGTACAGTAAGCATAGTAATGCCTATATATGATTCTGATGAAAACCGTGGAAATGAACTGAAATAGTACTAGACGTAACGAACCTTCCTTTGGGTGGGAAGCGTGGACCGATGTGCGGCAATGAAAGATCTGGCGTTCTGTCACGACCTGGGCTGCCTCGGCTAAACAAGAACATGCGTCACGTCACTCAAACATTCTCTACTAAATAAGGCATCTATAAAATGCTGTTCTCTGCTCTCAATACAGCAGTCTAGTTTATAAATTGTTTGTTAATGTATTAGATAGAAAAGTGTAAAATTCTGGCACAAGTTTTTATAGAGTGTAATATTTTTCACAAAATGCGCAAAAATTATATTTAACAGATATAATTTAAAAAAGACTTGACATAAAAAAATGTATGTCGTAAAAAATTGTTAATCACAAAAATGTCTTAAGCTATGTGTATATATATACATAATAACAATGTAATATTAATACAATGATGTGATATAATACAAAAGAATAAAATGTATCTAATTGACTTTTTAATCACAGAACAAACATTGAATAGTAAGTTTACGGATGTCACAATCATGGTTGGAAAGCAAGTAAGTTAATACGTTTAACTAAATTTTAGACTCTTGTTGCTGGATATTGCAATATGTGCGAACAAGGATTATCGTGTGTGAATATTGATAATGTTGTGTCTTGAATAGTAAATCATATAAAAACAAATGCATATATTTCTACTGAAGATGTGCATATTAAAACAAGATGTGCATATAAAAACACTGTACTTACGAAAAGGCTATGCAAAAATAATAAAATATAAAATATTTACATATGTTATGATGGGCAACGCACCTTTGTTTACGAGGCTGAGGTTGCTCATGCTCGTTATCCTGATAGAGATCCTTACTGAAATTCCATTACAAAAGCAACATTTCATGCGACGGTTAAACACACAGTACACAAAATACATAAAAAATTATAAGCAAAGTGAAAGATATAATTTCAGATATAGTAATCTGAAACTTCCTAAAATTGCAATGTACACAATAAAACAACTCAAAATACACAAATGTGGCACAAATATGAGAAGAATGCAAACAAAACTTAATGATTTGAACACAGAGCAAGCATAACAAAATACAATGATGTGCATATTATCAGCATTCATTATATATTCATATTAATTCGCAATAATGAAAAGAATTTTGAATCGTATGAATATATTTAAGTATATATAAACTTTTATATCAATAAATACGTACGTAGGCGCTGGTGATCTAACTTTCGATATCTTTCTTGCATCTTTTATCGGTTTAATTTGTCGAGCTTTGCACACACGATCAACTTCATTTTGTCTTCGGCTAGTATTCTCCATAAACTCTCTATGATCTGCGATGAGCATTTCGAGCGTAGCTCTGTCGTCGGGCAAAGGTTCTGCTTCCAAGGCATTCAAAGTGTTCTCCAAACCTTCGAGCCAGGCTAATAACTCCTCGAGAAGATTATCAAGATCCTACAAATATGTGCGTTATAACATCAATTTTATTTGAGAGATAAAATGATGAAATATGTATATATGGCACTACAAACCTGTAGTCCTTGCATATGGTTCTCCAGTCTTTGATTCCTTTGATAGGCCCATGTTGCAACTTCTTCCCATCTAGATTGAATAATTGTAATCCAGTGTTTGATAACTGCAGCACCATCGGGATGCGCTTTTCCAAGGATAATATGTGCCAACTCTAACGTGTTATCCTTTTCAACTTCTTTGGTCTGCAACTCGCGGAGAAATCTCTGGTGCTCCATCAATTGGTTTCTGCTCTCCTGCTCGTCTTCCGGCAGTGGTCCAGCGAATCGCAGCTTCATTTCCGCGTCACTTAACCATTCTAACAACACGTGAACGGCTTTGTGAAGTCGTTCGGCCTCTCGAAGGGCTTCTTCCAATAGTCTGGATTTCTTCGTTGTGAGACTGGTTACTCTGTCCCAGAGACTATTTAATTCAGACAATTGCGATCTGATCATTGATGCATCCTCGATAGAGGCTTTAGATTCCAATTCGCGACCAGTCTTGATGACGGACTCCATTTGTGAAGCGCGAGACTCTAAATCTCTCTCGAAAGCCTTGTGTTGCTCCACTAAATTGGTCACGGTGTCCAGATCGCCGTAAAGTGGTCCGGTGCTGGCCAGGTATTTTTCAGTTTTACTCAACCATTCTAGTAGCGCTTGAATTGCATCCTTGAACTGTCCGGAGAATAGCAAGGCTTCTTCCAATTTTCTCTGTCGATCTACACATTTACCACAGACTGTGATCCATTTGTTCTTCAACTCATTCAAAAGTTCTCTCAAGGCAGGTTCGTCGCTCTTTGGTGCTTTATCCTTTAATGTTTTGCCGTTCTTCATGGTAGTATCATAAGTGCTTTGCTTAGCACTCAAGGCCTTTTGTACCTCGCGATGTCTATTGAGACGCGACTTAATTCTATCCGGATCGTTGCCGCCAAGTCCATCAGCTGCAAATTCGTCTAATGTCTTCTCGGTTTCGTCCAACCAGTTCATTAGATTCGACCAACTATCGTGGAACTCTCTAGCCTCTTTGTAGCCGTGATCCAAAGCTCTCGTTCTCTCGGCTGACTTGGAAACCACTCGTTCCCATCTATGTTGCACGCTCACGAGCAAGTTTCTTATAAGAATCACATCTTGTTTTTGAGAGAAGTATTTGAGATGGGTTCCTTTCTTGTCGAGATTCAGCATAGTCTCGCGATGAACACCGACGTCTTTCTGGAATGCTTTGTGTTCCTCGATTTGTTGAAGTATGGTTTCCATGACTCTCGAGACCGGTTTGAGATTTGTCAAAATCTTTTCAGCATTAGTTAACCAATCGACGAAAGCTTGTAACGCGTCGTGGAACTCGGTCGCTTCTTTCAGGGCAATTTCCAATTTTATCTTCTTATCGCTAGCGCGTGAAAGCACATTATCCCATTTTTGTTTCAACGTTCGCAGAGTATGATGCAATCCTCCGGCACTCGTGTCTGCTTTCCTCAGATATTCCTGCCCTTGCTGCAATACCGTTTCAACCTTCGGACGATTTTGTTCCAGCTCGTTGTATACTTCCATAAAGCGTTCCAATTGTTCGGACGCAGTCTCGGGCAATCCACCAACCGGTTTAGAAGCTACTATCATGTTATCCACATCGTTCAACCACGACAACAGATCTTGTACCTCAGCATTGAATGATTGCGCCTCCCGTAAGACATCTTCCAATTCTCGTTGACGATCAGCAGCGCGTTGCAACAGATCTCGCCAACGACGATTCAGAGTATCCAATTTGTCAGCTGTAGTAGACACTTCGGCGGTATCTTTACTATCTTCAATCAATTGGCGTCCAGCATCGTTCAGAGTATCAACACTCGTCTGGTGAGCTTGTATATCGTTCACTAAGACCTTCAGTTTGGCCAATTCAACTTCAATCACTTGTGGATCACCCGCTACTGGCCTGATGTTATCCAACGTCCTGTCTGTCTTCTCGATCCACACTAATAGCTCGTCCAAAGCGTGTTGGAATTGACCGAGTCGTAATAATGCGTTCTCTAACAATCGTTGCCTCTCCACCAAGCCTCTCAGTAATCCGTCCCATCGTTTGTTCACAGCACCGAGTGGTTCCTTGATGGCTGCTGCTTGTTCGGACGAGGTCCTTTCCGTTAATTCGGCTGCTTGCCTAGATATGGAAAAACAATAATGTTAAAAAACGTATCGCTATTTTTTATACATACGCAAGTATATATATTTTACTATATGTATTCGAACCACAAAACATTGGACCAGATCTACAGGGAGGACGGGTTTAAAAATTTCAAAGTTTAACTACCGAAGGAATTAATATCAACTGGATATTAATCACTGCCGTTTCCACATTATTTCTGTCAAGAATATAGATTAAATTATCGTCTACGAGTTCTCGTGGTTGGTCACTCGATTCACCTGCTACATGCGGCTGAGTAATTTACCTTGAGGTAACACAAAGGGGGAGGATCCGATTATGAACATGTGACGCAAATTGTTAAAGAACTGCAAGATTATTAAACTAAACGGGGAAGGAGAGATGATGTAAAACACGTTCAGAACAACATGAAGCCATGCTCTAACTACCAGCGACAACATTGAGAGAGATTGGACTTGCCTTGTCAGACTCCTATGTTCGGGAACCGGCGCAATAAAACAAAAATCGGGATTAGAATTTACGTTTTCTCGAAAGTCACTCATCACAAATAATTCTTGGGTGGAAGTTGCACAAAGGGGACAATGCTGCGGCACTGAACTCTTTGTAACGCCATTAACATATTCAATTCAGCTTTAATTTAAAAGATAAATCATCACCTGTTTAACGCCTCGACTTTCACCATGTGAGGATCCACCTCGGCCTTGAAATTGGCCAGCTGTTTGATCTGCTTCTTCACTTCGTCGATGTCACTGCCGAGCGGACCCATCTCCGCGAATCTGTCTTCGGCCTCTTGCAAGAACTCCAATAGATTCTGTAATGTTTCATGGAATTCCATTGCTTTTTCCATAGCGTCGATCAGATTTTCTTCGCGTCTGGCGTACAGAGCGGTGACGTTATCCCAAGCTTGATCCAAATCTTCGATGTGTTTTCGCACTTCAGGTTTGTCTGGCTCGCCGCACAAGCCCATCAATTCGTGTCCTGATGCTCGGACTTGTTCAACATCCGGTTTGGTCTGATCGATCTCTTGTCGGATTTCTTGCAATGCCACTTGTTGTTGCTGAATGGCGGCTGGTTGAGCCGCCGGTGGTGCTTGTCCAGCCAGCGCGTCTTGCAGTTCCCTCAGAGTGACCATAACTCCGTTCAATTCGGCCCAGAACTTTTCGGCGACAGCCAGAGTATCGTCCAAAGTGTGACCGCGATCGGTCGTGGCTTTCTGTACATCGGTCCATAATTTGTTCAGTTTATCTAGCTTGCGTTTGATATCTTTTACCGCCGGATCAGCTCTATTACCCGCTTTACTGATAACATCATCCGCGGCTTTCTTGACGGCTGCGTAAGCTTCGGATCTCTGAGCGAGATCGTCTGCCAAGGCCGCGTTCTCCTCCATCTGGTCGCGCAAACGAGCCGGATGGGCGCTAATGGGCTCGGCACCGTTCACTTGATCGGCAGTAGAAGACAGGGCGCGCAACATACCCTCCAGTTTGTCGGAGAACTGCGAGGATTCCTGTAGCGCTTGTTCTAACGCTTGTTGCCGGCCTCTCAATTCGGCTCTCAATGCCGCGTAGCGAGCGTTATCATTATCCAAAATGTCCTGTACCTTGATACCTTCCTCTTCATTACACAACTTAATTAATGCCTCACCGGTCTTGTTGAGTTTTTCTACTAGAGGCTTGTGTTCATTAATGCTCTGTATGAGAAGTTCGTTTTTGTCCTGCTGCATTGCTATTAAGTCAGGTCGCAATGCAGGCATGGGTAGCATGGCGATTTGTTGTTCAGCCTCTTCGAGCCAGCTGACCAAGCCAGTGTGGGTATCACGAAGGTGTTCCGCTAGCGGTAAAGCTTGCTCCAAAGCTCCCAATCTGTCTGTCGATAAGCTCGATACAATCTCCATCGTTTCACGCAAATCCTCCATCTTATCTCTAATGGTAGATGTATCTTCGTGCTGAGCATTTTCACGTATCACTTTCTTCGCAGTCGAAATAACATCACGGACTCTACCTTTCTGACTGGATATATCGTCGTTCAGCGCTTTGTGCTCTTTCAATTGTACTCTAATAATTTCAGGCTCGCTGCTGGGCGGCTCGGCTTCTCGAAGTTGATTGTCCACCTCTCTAAACCAATCGAGTAAATCGTCAATATCGCCAATTACCTCCAAAGATCGCTGCTTGCTTAGCTGAATTCTTTCAGCCTTCCTCTGGATCTGTTCAGCAATAGCATCGAATCGCCTGTTGTCTCTAGTCACAAGACCTTCGATGGTCGCAGCACCTTCTCCTGGCGACATTTGGCACAACTGTGGGCCAATCGCATTGATTTTGTCCAGAACAGGTCTGTATTCGGATATTTCCATTTCGAGTCGGATAATCTCTTCTTCGCGAGGCTCGGCAGATTGCAAAGCCGTCTCTGCGCCTTGCATCCAATCCATTAAACGATTGTGATTATCGTGGAATTGTTGCACCAATGGTAAGGATTCTTGAGCATGTTTCAAGAGATCCGAGCCGCGTGTGACGAGATCGTTAAATCGTCGTTGCAGAGAGTCCAATTTGTCCTTCAATTGAAGCGCTTCGTCGCTCGAGATGTGTTTCATTAGCTCCAAACCAGAATCCACAGTACTGTCAACCTCCGTTTGTCGCGTGGATACCTCTTCCGTAAGATCTGCGAGATCTTCCATTTGTTGCAAGAGTTTTTCTGTATGTACAGCCAAGATGCGATATTTCGACAATCGGATTTCCATGCTCTCCATCCATGCTTGTAAGTCCTGGTATGTGAGAACGAGATGACGTAAACCCTGCCTCGAACGTTGCAACAAGGCACCAAGAGCTTCCGATCGTTCGACCAAAGCGGCGTATCTATCTGCTGCGTCCTGAAGTTTATCGGCCAATGTGGCAGCTTCATCTTCGCCTACTAGCGACATAAGTTGACTGGCTATTTCCGTGAGCTCGCTAAAATCTGGTGTCTTCGATATAATATCTTCGTGAAGTATGTCATGCTCGCTGACACGTTGCTGTATCTTTTCCTCATCGGTAGGAACCAACTCCATATCTCTTACTTTCTTCTCCGTTTTATCTAGCCAGATAGCAAGTGGTACCAATTTATCTTGGAATCGCTTCGCCACAGCCATCGCTTGCTCAAGAGCATCCATTCTCTCAGCAGCGCTTTCCGTCAGATTGTCAAATCTGCCTACAAGATCGTTCAATTGTTTTTCGATGGCCTTACGCTCCTTCGGATCTGCATCGGCGGCTACCTCTCGTCCCATGTTGTAAAGAGATGTCATAGAATTTTGTCGATCCATCAACATCTTCTTTAGGAATTTCTGCTCTTGCAGTTGTGCCTTCACGACTTTGTAATCTGAAGAAGGTGGTTTTTGATTCGAAACCATTTCTTCCGTATCGGTCAACCATTTCTCCAAACCGTCCAAAGCCTCTTGAAATTTGCCCGATTGTAGTAATCCAACATCCAATTTGCGATCGCGCTCGTTTAGCTAAAAAAATAATTATAAATTAAATCATAAAATAATGCATCCTGTTAAGTCTCATATAAATATCGGAAAACATACACATTCTTCGACGCTTACATATAAATCAAATACTCACCCTGTCTTTCAAGTCGTTCCACCTTTCGTTCATTTTATCGACATCTTTTTCGATATTGCTGGTATTGACATCTCGTCCTGCAGTCTGTATAAGACCTTGACCGAGCGCGTTACAATCTTCAACAGCATGTGCTAATGGCTCGATCTTTTTAATTTTGAGAGTCCTGAAGTCCTCCTGCTGGACTTTAATCGAGTCCACTTCGGATCCAACAGGCTTAAACCTTCTGACATGTTCGTTTGCGTCATTGATACCCTCCATAACATCCGCGTGCAATTGATAGAATTCTTGTAACTTGTTCAAGGTAGATGTGAGTTCGTCTTCTCTGGTACGCGCGCGTTCGTCCAACTTGCCAATTTGTCGTTTAAATCCATCAACTTGATCTCTCGTTGCTACAGCATCGGCAGCGAAGCCGTAATCGACCAAACGTTCACCACGATTCTCTAAATCACCGATTTCCTCGTAGAGCTTGTTAATTTTGCTGATAACTTTAGCGGTATCTTCCAATTGTCCTCGCACGATCTTAATCTCTCTACCAGCTGCTTTCATGGAATCTAAATCTTTCTCGAGAGCGGATAGATGCTGGCTGATGTATTTCGCTTGATCATTGAATTGCGCAACAGCTGTAGCTGCGCTTTGTAGTTCGTTGCATCTATCATCCAATTTCGCTTGCAGGTCGTTAATACGATCGTTAATATTGTCAGTTTCGTCTTGTAAATGTGTCGCATCAACGCCCTGCTCACCAGCTTTGTTTACGAGATCGTTAGCCTGTTGTTTCACGCATTGCAAAGGTTTCTTTAAGCTCGTTGTTTCCTCTCGCAAATTCTAAAAATTATATAATTATTAGTATATATTTTTTTATATTTTAATTGTAATTTTTTATTAGAATATAGAAAACCACCTTTATTCTATCGAGAAGCTTTGGATCTTTAGCCGCTCCGCCGAGAGCATCGTGCGAAGCCAATTTATCTTCGCAACGTTGTAAACCGTGCTGCAAATCACGTAAATTCTCATTAAAGTCCATTAGGTGACGTGCGGTATCTTCCAAGGACTGCGTTCTGGATATTAAATCTGCAAGAAATAAATAAATTATTGATATAACATACGCAATATAATTATGATGAATTATAAAATGTCAAATAATAAATTTAAATGTACCATTATTTAACTTATCCCATCTAGTTTTCATAGCACTAAGCTCATTCTTCACGTTTTGTTTGTCAATGTCGCAGGCTCCAACAAACGTTTCGCCAAGCGTCTTGTTATTTTCAAATTCTCCAGAATGTTTCCACACTTCGTTTCTGAATGATGACAGTTCTTTCAACTGCTTCTCGATATCCTTGCGTCTAAAGGAAGTAGGGATCAAACTATCCAATTTATCCTCGGCTTGTCGAAGCCACGGAAGAAACACGTCTTGAGCTTTGTAATATTTCTTGCAATGTTCTGCACATGTCTGCAATCGAGTATGTCTTTCGACAGTATCCTTCTTCAAACGATCCCACTGTGACTGCATCTTATCCAAGTCACGTTGAAGCGAGCGGTTTTCAATTTTCTGAGATCGCGCAAGTATGTCGCGTCCTTTGTTCAAGAGCATTATAACTTCATGCTCTTTACTCATCACATTACGATAAATAGGCTAAAAATAATGTTCAATTTTTATTTAACGTAGAACTTACAATATGGAAAAATAAACAAAGAAAAAATTTCTTAAATAATAATACGTACCTCATGATGATCAAGTTGCTGTTGCAAAATTTCTCTATCAGCAGATACTAACAGTTTTTCTGACATGTTTCCAAGTTCGTCCGCAAGCCATCCTAGAGTTCTGCTACAAGAGGCTTCGAATTGTCTTCCATCGCGAAGATTACCTTCAATTTCTGCTTTCCTGTGATCCAATTTCTTTTGCAAATTATTGTACATCTTGCTGAGTACGGCGAGCTTTCCTTGAATTTCAGATTTCGACGCTGGGTCACTCATCAGAACCTCGCACAGTTGCGCACCGGCCATTTCCGCATCCGCTAATAATGGTCTCTGGCCTTCCAATTGCCTCTCCAAATTCTCGATCTTACGAAGTTGATCTTCGGGATCTTTTTCAAGAGACAATTCGTCCAGATTGTCTGAAATTCCTTGCAAGGCATCTCGTAGTCGATTAAGACTGGCATCAAACTCACGACTAGTATCAACGGCGTCTCCTAAACTCTGAGCTCTTTCGTCCAATCTTCCCATTTGATCTGCCCACCGTTGCAAAATGCTCTGCAATTTCATGTTTATCTTCTGTCCATCCGGAGAATCTATGGATATTGTGACAAGGATACTTTCTCCGATTTGTATTAGATGATCCAATTGCGGTTGCTGAGTTCTAAACTCCTCTCGCAAGACTTGAACTTGTTGTACTTGACTCGCAACCATACGGGGATCGGCCGAAATTGGTCCCAAAGCGCCCAGCATACGTTCTTTAGCGCCAAGCCAAGAATTAAGACCCTCGTACGTATCATAGAAGTCTTTAATGTCTTCCAAGAATTTAATTCGATCTTTGCATCTGTCTGAAATCGATCGCCATCGACTGGCAACATCTTCCATCTCATCGTTCAATCTATCTACACCGTCCGCTCCCTTTTTACGTCTGACCAAATCTCGCACTTGCGTACGAGTGCTATCCAATAAAGATTGTTTCTCGTACATTTCTTCAACGAGGACTTTGACTTGCTTGGCCGTTTTGTCCGCATCGTCTTTAGTCGCAGGCATACTCTCTTTTGGCAATTGCCGTTGAATCTGATAAAAATGTTTATATATTATATTCTGATTAATCAAATACACATTATAAGAAATATTACTTTAAAAATAAAATTACCTTATCCAAGAATTGGGAGAGTACTTTCAAGTGGTCCAAATGTTTCTTTAATTCCTCTCTGATATTGTCCAACTCCGTTTGGCGATCTGACAATCTGACGCCGAGTAATCCATATCTGTGATTAATTTCCGAGAGTTGTTGTTGAACCGGCGATAACTCTTCCAGATGGAAACCATCTTGGCTCGAACGACGGCTGCTGAATCCACTGCTACCACCTGGGGAGACCGGACTTTGAACTGCGTAGGATTTAATGGGTGACGGCGAACGACCGTCTTGTGACATACGCAGTACTACAAAAAAATGACAGAAAAAAAACGGTCAAATGTAACGAAAATGGTAATGATTGTGTGCTGAAAAAGATGCAACGTGATAGATATATAACTAGTAGAGTTGTTATAACTGATAAATTTACTAATAGCAATTAATTTGCGGAAAGAACCGATGTGCAGAATTCACATCATGCTATCGAAAGGAGTACCTATGCAAACATATATGTAGTAAAAATAGTAATGTACCTGGTCTCTTCGTCGGGCTAGTACTGCCACGTCGACGAGTTGGACTCTCACCGCGTTCTTTCATCAAGCTGTCGTAAGCAATGCCAAGATCATTGATCTTATCGACTGTGTTGCCATAATCACGATATTCCTTCTGTATAGGCTTCAGTTCCTCCTGTTGCATCTTCAGCTTATCCAGATCTACGGCAACCGGCTCGAGTCCTTGCACTTTGTTCTCTGTACGAGTAAGCCAATCGAGTACTTGATCTCGCAGCTTTTCGTAGGCTATATGTTGTTCTGCCCGTGATTTGCACAGTCGTTGTTTCTCGTCCAGTAGATTGTTCAGTTCCTTCCATTGAGATTCGAGTGCCTTGATTTTATCTCTAATTGCACCCGCTTCGGTTATATCCTTTTTAGAGATCAAATTCTTCCCATTACGTATTAGATCTTCGAAGTTTCCGCGTTGATCCTCACGCATGTCTATCAATTGCGCCATCTTAGCTTCGCACTCCGACATATCGAGCTTGTTCAGATCTCTCGAGTCGAGAATTTCCATCATGTGCGCGTACCAATTCTCGAATTTGGCCACATCTCCCAGGAATTCGTTTAAAGCTTGCGCGATTTCATCCAGGAATTCACCGCGCCTCAAAGACCTGTCCATCAGTTTCTCAAATCTGCTTTGCACATCTTTCAGTTTGCTTTCGATACGTTTAGCAATGCGAACGTTGCTCGAATTCAAGAGAAGATCCTGAGCGTTCGCTGTGATAGTTTCCACACTCAAACGATGACTATCCAAGTCCGCTTGAAGTAATCGCTGTTCTCTTTGTTGCTCTTCCAAGCGTTCCTTCTGCAAACTTGCCGGACGTTGAAGCGATCTGTACGTGTATAATTTGCATTAAAATAAAGATAGACTTGAGATAACACAGGAAAATTCATAAATAATAACTTGTCCTACTTACTTAAATTGACTTTCAACATTGTTCAACCATGCAACGAGACTATCCAATGCGTCTTGCACTCCTTGACTTCTCACCAATGCAGTGTCAAGTTCTTGACATTTGTCAGCCAGAGCATTACTCAGTTGTTTGTATTTATCTTCTAACGCTTTCACTGGTTCCTCAAGCTCGTTAGCCTCGTTGATTGTCAACTGGCCTTCTAGAGAATTCAACAGGGCCTCAACACTATGTTTAGCATTGTCAACTAGACGTTCATTAGCGAGGAATTCATTATTCAACGCCTTGGCTTTGCTCAACTGATCCTCAACTTGTTTCGGTTCCGCGGCAACGGGTTCGGAGATAACTCTGTGCACTTTCGGTTCGATATCCCTCAACCACGTTCTGGCCTTATCTAAAGAGTCGTGATAGTCCCTCTGTTTGCCACCGACTCCCGACAATCTGTCTGACAACAGATTTGCTCGAGATAATAAATCTTTGTATCGAGCCGTAGCGCTGGATACTTCGGCTCGTACGGGTGAATCCTGGCTGGCTGTGGGCTCTTTGTGTGGCAATCTTTGTGGCAAGCTGGTCCTGAAGTCATTAAGAACTTGGAGATACTCTTTACTCTCATCAACAAACTTTTGCGCGGCCATCGTAATAAATCTCAAATCTGCTTGATGAGCGATGACATCACTAATAAAATCTCGGGTCGTGTCGGTGCTGCTACTGAGTTTGTTTAAGTCAGATAAGGAGCGCTCCTTATCCTCGAGAATGCTTCTGGCTTTATCCAACCAAATCGAGAATGTCGTGAGTTCATTCCTAACGGAAAAGCAAATCAATTAAATTCAAAAAATAAATAAAATAAATCGATAAATACATGATGAAAGATACTAACTTGAATTTCGTCAGTTCGTCTCTGGCACCAATGAGACGTTTCACTAATTTGTCAGTACGATCTAATGCTTTGTCAAATCGAGTCTTCAGAGATCGACCGTTCTTTTCCAATGTAGATACTTCATCGCTAGACAATACATTGCTGCCAGTCAAGACGACTTGTCGAATTTGATCCAGGCAGGATGAAACGGGTCGGCTGTGCGACTCAAGATCCTCTTTTATTTCCTGCAAGTAAGATTTCATATACGTAATTATTTAAAAATCTGAAATAAGCGTATTTATACAAATTGACCGATTAATTATATAGATTCTATTGCTCACCTTCATAATAATTATTTGTTTTCTTAACTCTTCTACATTTTCCTTTACGGTATCTTGATCCGCCAGTTTGTCCTCGATTTCGGAGATCCATTGCAGGAGCTTAGACAGCGTTTCGTCGCAGAGCTTATACTTCTCCTCCACCGCTTGCTAAAATAGAGTTGGAAGAAAACAATTCATTTTCATCTACTCGTGCGTTTCATCTACTTCATTACACCTAATGTGCTAGAAAGAAAAACTTAAATAAATCATAAGAATATCATCATCTTACCAATGACGATATTAGGTATCGTATTAATTAAAGATTAAAGAAAACATAGGTAAGCTTACGACATATCTCACGCATGCAAACACAGGCACACTTTTAACGTACAGGTAAAATAACAATATTAAATGGTAGCTTTAATTTATCTGCAAGAGCTGCATATCTCTCGTATAGGTTTTTTCATATGCAGTTTGAAGCACAACGATAACAGTATGAAGATAACGTAATTGCATAATACAATACACGTTCCAACAAGCAAATAAATTAAAACGCACAATGACGGAGTAACAATCGTGTGATGGTAAACTGCATATATAATAATGCATATGATACAGTAATGTACAACGTGGAGAAAATCCCGCTAACTCATGCTAGCGAAAACATAGGTTCGTGATAAGTAAACATAATCATACCTGAAAAAAAGGAAAACATTTAAATGTATAATAATTATCATAACTCTGAATAGACAGATATAAAAACTAGTTGGAGTTAAACGCATATTAACAAGTAAATTGACAAAATTAAGACAAGATATTATACACTTGTTAATTTCGTTGTAATATGTTAATTATACGGATTTCTCGCGGAATGGTAAATAAAATCAACTGAGACTCTAAGAACTTATTATTAAAAAAAATCATTTAATTGTGTAATATATTACACAGAGTGCCGATGCGGTGCTTACAATTATTGCGTTGGTCTTGATTACCGTCAAGCATTTCACATTCTTTAATATTACGTTAGAAACAATAATATAGGCAACAATATCAATTGATCATTATTGTTTTATTATCTACTATTGCTTTATATTTTTTAATGCAATTTTTATTATATCTTGATTACTTGATTATTATCAAATTTTATTTTCTATTCAGCAATGCCTTTAATTTATTTGCCACAATCGTCTGTCACTTTCATCCCGACCAAACCAATGCTTTATGAAGGATAATGAAAGGCAAAGAGCAACGACATGAATATAGTTGCATATCCTTTCAGCCAAATCCTTCTTTTCCTCGAACAAGCGTTAATTTTGAATGAAGAATAGAAAAAAATGTCAATTTGCAAATTTTTATTTCATGCATGTCGTACGTATTAGTATGTTTAGCAAAAATGATGTTTTTTTTTTTAATCAAAACAAAAATTATTAGTCTCACATGTTTGGATCAAACAATCCAATATGCGATTTATCTTATCGAAGAATCGCTACATTTTCGTAAATTTTTTTAGGTAAGTTATATAAATGTAATTCTCTTCTGGATCGCATTATACATAAAATCATGAAAGTTTTATCGCGAGAAATAAGATAAGCTAGTTAAAAATTATTAGATTAATGATAAAATTATAGATTAACGATAAAATTATAGATTAATGCTACTTAATTTATTAAAAAGGGATTAGCGTTGTTGATGCGATAAAATTTTGGCTTGGGATTAATGATATTCTGCATGGTGGAGGATATTGTTTCATGATGCGGTGTTCGATATCGTCTGATGATCTGCAGATCGCCAATTAAATCAGTGACAAACCCGAGGGATCGTACGCGATGTCCAATTAGTGTCGTTCGTGATGATGGTCGACCTTTACTGAACCCACATTAAGGTAATGAAAAAGTAAGCACGAAGGTAAGTATGGTGAATTGTATGATGAGGAGAGTCTGAGACAAATCGTTTGAAGCGAGCATTCCGATAAAAGGAAGCACGGGGATGATTCCTCTAGTAGAAGTAGAGGGTGAAAGAGACAAGACCAGAGTGAAAACGATTTTAATTTATGTCCATGCACGTTACGCGTTATTACTCCTCTCAATTCTCGATCGAGACGTAAAAAAATGTCATGCCAGTCAAAAACGAGGACTTAGAGGTCCGTGCAGAGGACCGTCATGCCAACAAGCGATTCTCCTCGCGGATGATAATGATATATAAAAATTCACGTCAGGCAAGGTGAGATATGACGGAGAATCGCATGACAGTAAAAAAAACGTAACGATTCATGTGACAGCGTAATGATAATCACATCCAACTCTCGGAGGAAGCTGTTAGAGAATCGTGAGTAGGAACAATAGCAAACGTAAACTCGGGTGTGAGAAAAATTGGAGAAACCCAAACAGCAAAGGGGGAAAAAAAAAAAAAAAAATAATAGAACGAACGGAGAACAAAGAGTCAATTGGTGTGGGAGATTGTCGCGGGGATGTGTAAAAGGCAACATTCTGGCTGGTCTTACTTACCCTGGCTTCAGCGGCGAGTATATAACCCCGCTCCAAGGCCTTCACGAAGTCGATACTCTTGCCGTCAGTGTCCTCGACTAATCTCCCTCCTACAGAGTCTACCTTCCCACTACTCACTGCCTCTAGTAGACTCGCGATATTACCCGTGAATGGATCTTTGATCACGGTGGTGGACGGATCAATCAGACCCGACTCGATCGCGTCCGCAAGAGTGAGACGCGTACGATCTAGCACGGAGGTAACAACGAAGGGATCGTAAAAGCCGCCCGTGGTCGGATTATAAAGACCGAACTGCAGCGCTTCGATGAACGAGACGCCGTTCCTCGGGGTAATCAACAAGCCGGTTTCCAGGGCCTTGGACAAGCTGTACAACTTGGACGTGGCCGTGTCCAGCACGTTGCCCTTTTCCGCGTCCATCATGCCCTTGCGGAACGCTTCTGGCAATTTTACCAGCTTCTTCTTCTGCGAGTCTTTAATCAACGCCGAGTCCGAGTCTACGATGCCGAGGCCGACCGCCTCCTTGAGGGTCAATTGGTCGTTCGAGATCGGATCCGTAAATTTGCCCGTTTCTAGCGACAGATACTCCTTCTCAACTGCCTCCTCAAAGGGGATAGGTTCTCTAAGGAATACGACGATATCACCGAAACGCACGAAACACGGCTCTCTCTTATTTGCACCGTTCAATTCGATCGTGCCTCTGACAGTGGGATCTACGACATTGTCCGCGATCGCTTTTGCCGTCGTCACAAACCGACCGGTCCTAGGATCCCTCACAACCGATGTGCTCGGATCAACTAGTTCGTAATTGATCGCCTCTTCTAGAGTGCATTCTTTAATATTTCTGTCACCAAGTCCGGCTTTGGAGGCTTCCAAGGATGATCTATGTGCCATTTGTTGCGCCAGAGGTTTATCGATTGTAACCAACAAGCCTCTTTCCAAAGCTACATCGATATTGAAAGCACGTGTCGTCTTGGAATCTAATATTCTTCCCCGAGACACGTCGACCGTCCCATCTTCGATGCCGGTCAATAACGACTTGATCTGCCCGGTTGTCGCGTCTTTCAAGGCGGTAGTATCAGGATCTACGAGGCCGCAATTGATCGCCTGAAGCAGGTCGTGATACTCATTAAGAACGGGATTAGCGAATTTGCCACTGTCGCCGCGGTAAAGGCAACACTTGACTGTCTCCTCGATTGACAAAGGTGTCTTCGACGTAACGATGAAGCCCTTTTTCACCGCTTCTTGCAGATTGATCGCTCTGTCAAGCTCGCGGATGACATACATGCCGCGAATATCATCGACAATGCCCGAGGAGACTGCTTCGGCCAACGCGATATATCTGTTAGACCTAGAACACTTGACGATCGACGTTAGGGGATTTATCAAATCCACTTGGCATGCCTCGGCTAACGTCAGCTTGCGATTACTGGCCGGATGAACAAATTTGCCCGACGAGACGTCGTACATGTTCATTAGTATCGCCTCATATAGGCCGAATCCCATGCTCTCGATGTCGACGATAAGCCCGAGCTGTAATGCAACCGACAACGAGACCGAACCACTGGCGCCTGGTTCTTTGAACATGCCGGTGCGTCTGTCGATCACGCCAGCACGACAGGTCTCCGCCAATGACAACAAACGTTCACCACGTTTGTCCCAATAGCACGGTAAGGTGGGACTGATAATGCATTTTCTCATCGCTTCGTGTAACGTCACGGCTCTACCTGTAGTGGGATCGGTGATTTTGCCCGTGTTATCATCATACAATCCTTGATGGATGGCACGCTGCAGAGATACGGCAGCTCTATTGTCAACGATGAGGCCAGATTCGAATGCGTCCCTCAAAGATACGTTTCTGTTACCCTTGCTGGGATCCTTAAGGTAGCCAGTAGTGCCGTCCATGTAGTCCGATTGTATCGCTTCCATCAGCGTCATCGTTTTCCAGACGCTGGATCTCGTATCCTTGACGGTAACCGAGTCAGCGTCTATTAGATTCTTTTGAATGGCTTCCAATATTGTTAAATAAATGCCTGTTTGTGGATCCAAAAATTTGTTGGTTTTTTCATCGAGGATGCCCTTGGAGATCGCTTCACTAAAGCTCATAGGTCTTCTTGTTTCGAGAAGCAAACCGCGTTCCAACGCTTCCTGGAAGTCTATGGGTGGTCCTCTGGCGTGGCTAACTGTTCCAGACTTGGGATCGACTACGGACGTTTTGATAGCCTTGTTGAATGTCATAACATCACCGTTGGGATCTCGTACGATCGCGGTCGTGGCGTCTATCACGCCCATTTTAATCGCGCGATCAGTAGGAAGTTTCTCTTGCGTGTCGGGCACTGTGAATTGTCCGGTCTTTGGATCGTACAAGCCTTTGAAGACGGCATCTGGCAACGATATCTTACGTTTCGCTGGCACTATAAAGCCGCGATCCAAGGCGTCGATTAACGAAAGAGGCGCACTGGTACATGGATCCATCGCCGTTCCAGTCTTCGCGTTGATGAAGCCGTGCTTGATAGCGTCGCCCAAAGATATAATATCGTTATTTCTCGGATCTTTAATCGATGGACTGTCCTTGCTAATAGAACCCTTCTCGATCGCCTCTTCCAAAGTATAAGTAGTGCCATCGATACTAAAAGTGCCGGATTTCGGATCATAAATTTGAAGAGC